CCCTCAGACAACCCACATCCCTCACACCACCCACTGGGCCCCAAGCCAGCTGCTCAGCTATGTGCTATGCCAGGCCTCATTAGGCTGATCCTGTTATCCTACCCTGGGGAGCCCCCTCCTGCCCGCCCCAGCTGCCTGCAGGGCCAGCCCCAGACCAGCCTCATATGGTCAAGGTGGGTGGGAACTTTATGGTCTAGCCCAGGGGTGGGCAAACTTTTTGACTGAGGGCCACAATGGGTTCTTAAACTGGACCGGAGGGCCGGAACAAAAGCATGGATGGAGTGTTTGTGTGAACTAATATAAATTCAAAGTAAACATCATTACATAAAAGGGTACGGTCTTTTTTTTTTTTAGTTTTATTCATTTCAAATGGGCCAGATCCGGCCCGCGGGCCGTAGTTTGCCCACGGCTGGTCTAGCCACAGAGGGCTGGGCTAGAAATGGTAGGTCCGTGGACCGGAAAAGCTGTGGCCCCATGCCACACACACTCGCCAGCCCTGTCTCCCTGAGAACACAGCAGTGGGTGTAAGAAGAGGGCTCCAGACACAGTGGAGAATGGAGGACTGACCCTGTAGGCAGGTCACAGGGCCCCTGTGCCCTCTCCTCGCTCATCTCCCCATACTGGCCCTGGTTCCATTGCTGCAGTGACACTGGTCACCTTGAGCAGGCACAGCCCTACCTCGGAGCCTTTGCTCCTCCCCTGGAATGCTCTCCCCAGATCTTCACTTGGTCCTAGCGCAGATGCTCCCTCCTCTGAGAAGCACTTCAACCTCAGAGCAGCCCTCCCACCGCTGGTCCTATTGCTTCACCTCGTTTTATTTGCTGCTGTTGTTGTACTGTCACCATCCAGATTACCATATATATTTCTTATTTAGCATCCATTGTCCTGATTGGACAGCGAGTTGGCAAGGGTGGGGCCCAGGTTGGCCTTGGTCATCCTGAGTTCCCTGCCTGGCCCAGCATACAGTAGGGGCTCAATAAGTGTTTGCTGAGTTAATGTGTTAGGTGCAGAGCCCAGCCTGGCTGTCTGGGCTTTCTGCCATCTGGCCCTTTATTTACTTGCTAGTTCTGCTCTACTGTGTGTTTTTGAGGAAACCTCTTACTTCCCTGAAACTCAGCCCTATTTTCCCCCCAAAAGCAGAGCCTATCATATCCTCCCCATGTTTCCTCTCCCCCTCAGCATTACCCCTAGTACCCAGAGCCCAGGGATGGTAGAGGCATCGAGAAAATGTCGGGAGACAGACCCAGGTTCAACCACAGCTCAACCACTTATTTGACCAAATCACTCTACCTCTCCAAGCCTCAGTTTCCCTGTGTGGAAAATGGGGCTAATAATAATTACAGCTTTTTCCAGGGACTGTGGGGAGAATTAAACATGTGGAAAGTCCTTAGCATAGTGCTTGGCTCTAAATAAATGAAATAGCCAACACTGCTGGGTGTTATTGTTGTTGTTAGAGAGGCCATATGGTACAGTGGTTAAGAATGTGGAGACTGGGGTGTTGGGGGTGGGGCTTTGAGGGATGAGTAGGAGTTTGCCCAACCACTAAGTTCAAATCTCACTTACACTCTGCTTGACCCTTAGCAAGTCATTTCACTTCTTTGGACCTCAGTTTCCCCCTCTACACAATGGGGGTAAAAGAGTTCATACCTTGCTAAGAGTCATTACGTATGAAGTGCTTACACCAGTAGTGTTGCTCGCTAGGGTTACCATTAGCTATTATTATTTTACTTCTGTTATTATCACAAAGCAACCAGCACAGTCCTCCCCAGAAGTCACTCTCTCTGTCCGTCTCTCAGCTACACTTTGGCCAAGACAAACCCAGAGCCCCTTAAGATAAGCTCAAGGGCTGACACTCTCTTCTCAGAGTAGCAGGGAGCCAGCAATGGTGCTTGCAGTTGGGCAGCAGGAAGCTCATGGGGGAAGATGATGAGAGGCTACGCCCCCACCTCTGGCCAGGCCTGGAAGGGTCTGCTTGGGGTGTCTGTGAAAGTGCCAGCCATGAGGCTGGCCCCCGACCCCTGCAGACCCAGCATCGGAACCAGCTGTGCTAGCCAGATGTTCCTGGTTTACCCCCAGATGTGTGTTGCCAGCTCGAGGCTGCCCTGGCCTCCCCATCCCCACTATGGGGTGGGGCTGGGCCCTGGGGCCCTCTGAGGGAGGGGACACATTTTTGTGGGCTGCAGAATTTGTTTCTTGTTTTGCAGAACCGTTGAGTCTTGCCTTGAGAGAGGCCCAAGTTCCGCCTGTCATGGGGCCTCAGTTTCCCCATCAGTGGACCCCCAGGGGCCATCTGGGAGAAAGGAGACAAGCAGGGCTGTCCTAGGAACAGGCCCAGCTGCCAGCCCAGGAGCTGTTAGCACTGATGGGGGAAACAGAGGCACGGGCGTGCAAGCATGTGGGCCCAGCTGTTGCTGTCGGCTGGTTCTGCAGAACTTCCAGAACTTAAATGACCCTCCAGGTAGGGGAGGGTGTGCTGGGCAGTCTGTTGTACAGATGGGGAAACTGAGGCTCAGTCAGGAAGAGGCAGAGCAGGGATCCAAACTCGGCTGTCTGGAGTCCATGTGCTGCAGTATTCAGACACACGCCTTTCCCCAGTGTGCGGGCCGTGCCCACATCTGCCCCTGTGACTTCACAGCGTGGCTCGCTCTGCCTGTGGACAATGACAGCCCTACTAGCCACCCCACTCAGCTCTCCCCTGGCATTCCTGTGGTGCTGGTGGCCCCTGTGGACACTTTCTGAAGATGGGGAAACTGAGTTACGGTGGGACCAGGGACATGTTCAGAAGTGAGGTAGAAAGGAAGAAGGGCGCACATGGAGGGAGGTACCAAAAGCGTGGAGACTGAGGAGCTGCAGGCAGCTCATGCCTCTGTGAACAGAACTATTGAGATCACCCAGCCCAGACTGCCCCTCCGGAAACCCCTCCTCCAGGAAAGACAGGCATGGACATAGCTATGCTGCAGGGCTGACAAGAGGGATGGCCCTGTGGCCAGGGTGCCAAGATGGGGAGCAGAGAAGGCTCCTGGAGGAGGGGCTTTAGTAGCTAGGGCTTTAAGGATAAGTAGGAGTTTGCCCAATGGGGACAAGCCTCAATGCCAGGCTTCCCCCAGACTAGAGGAGTGAGTGGATTGAGGGAGGGGTCACCTCTTGTCCTTCCTGTCCCTGGGTGCAAGCATGAAGCAGGTGCCTCCCTGAGGCCAGGAGCTCTGCAGGATGGAGGCTGTTAACCCTGGGAACAGGTAGGTCCCTGGGAAACTGAAAAGGCAGAGCCCCGGGGCGTTGCCTGGACACCAGGATAATGAGCAGCATTTCCTGGCACCACCAGGGAAGCTGCCAGAAACACCCACACACCCTCACCCTGATTGTCTGCTCCTTGGGTGATTAGAAGGACCTACCTGGTTGTGTGACTTTGGGCTATTCATCACCCCTCTCTGAGCCCCCATTCCCCTCCCTCCCCACCCAGCCCTGGGGATTCGGTGCCTCCAGCTAGAGGTGGAGGTCTAGCCTCGATCCCTCTTGCTGCAGTTCAGACTGGCCTGGCCCCCAAGAAGGGAGGGTAATCCCTTCCCTCGACAGTGAGGACTCTCCAGGATCTGGACATTGCCTGAGGGCTGGGTAGGGAACCGGCAGAGTGAGTGGCACCTGTCTGGGCAGAGTGAGTGGCACCTGAGATGCTAGCAGGTGTGGACCTTGGCCGGGTACCAGTGGTTCTGGCAGGTCAGTTCTCTCCTGGGTCATTCTGCCTCCTCCACTGCCATGTGCCTCGCTCGCAGCCCACCGTGTGTGCTGTTCACTATTCCCCTGGGATCTTTGCAGTTAAGGACCCAAGAGCACGGAGGGCTTGTTCATGTGTGTGTCCCTGTGTATGTGAGCATGTAGCCGGAATGCAGAACATGGTTGTGCTCAAGTGTGATCATGTTCGAATGCCATGTAAAATGCCCACGTGTGAACATGCATGAGTGTGAAACATGCTAGCATGTGCATATGGTAGTGTGCAAACGTCATAATGCACGAGTCTAAAAATGCCCAGGTGTGTGTGTGAAACATTAGTGTGAGTGTGAAACATTAGTGTGTGAGTGTGGTAATGCTTAAGTGTATGTGTGTGATCATGTTCAAGTATGTGGGTGTGAAAACGTGTGTGACTGTTCGAAGATTAAGGGTAAACACATCCAAGAATGTGGTAATGTTTGAGTAGGAATATGAAAATACCCTAGTGTGTGAGTGTGGTAGTGTTTGGGTGTAAGTGTGAGAACCTTAAATGTGTGTGTGACAGTGCTCAAGTGTGTGAATGTGAGGGTTTCAATGTGTGTGAAAATGTCCAAATGCATGGTTGTGAGTATGAAAACACTGAGTGTGTAGGTGGGAGAGTGTTTGAGTGTGTGAAAACATCCATGTGTGAGTGGGATACAGCGTGTGCAAGAGTAAGAATGCCGAGTGTGTGAGGGCACCCACCTCCCCAGATCTCCAGGCCTCCATTACACAAGCACGCCTGGCCCCTCCCCTGTGCCCTCCACCACACCCACATCACCCCCTCCCTGTCAGGTCCCTGCCAGAGACAAACCAGTTGGGTGACCCCCTTACAGAAAGATCCATTGTTAACCGATGCTTATCAGCTGGCTTGCTGGACCCCCTCCATTGTCAACCCCCCCTGCTTTCCTGTCCCCCATCAGAGCTCTGGTGGGGTCTAGTGTTTCAAGGCCACGGGGAGGGGGGTGGGGAGGGAGGGGGACTCCTGTGGCCAGGCCATCTCTTGGCTGGTGTTTCATCCATCCTCCAGCCCCCACTGAAGCCCTTAGCAGAGACAGAGGACCACAGCCTGGCGCTGTGCCCCGCCTTGTTCCAGCCTAACAGGGAAACGGAGGCACACTATTCCAAGACTTGGGTGTGAGAGCAAGCAGGAAGTTGGGGTAAGAGAAAGCCATGCCCATCGGAGGACTTTTTTTTTTTTTAACCCTCTCCCAAGGATATATTTTTTTCCCATTGATTTTTAGAGAGAGTGGAAGAGAGAGGGAAAAACAGAGAGAAACATTGATGTGAGAGAAACACATCGATTGGTTGCCTCTTGCATGTGTCCGTCCAGGGCCAGAGCCGGGGAAGAGCCTACAACCATGGTACATGCCCTTGATCGGAATCGAACCCGACACCCTTCAGTCCACAGGCCAATGCTCTATCCACCCGGAGGTCTTCAGCCTGGGTGGGTTTCCCTGCTGTCTCCCCCTACCAACTCTGTGACCTTGGGTAAGTCATGTGACTACTCTAGGCCTCAGTTTTCCCATCTGTGAAATGGGGATAAAGACTCTTTGTGAGGTTGAAGTGACTTAATATGCATTGATTGTAGAACAGGATCTGGCATAAAAGGGGGTGGTTTGGGCACTTGACAAATGGGCTGACCTCTGTTTGCTGCACAACCTTGAGAATGAAATATTTCTCTGCAGCCCACAAATTCCCGCGGGATCTACCCTGTCACACCCCCCCCCCCCCCCCCCCCCCCCCCCCCCACACAGGGGGCCCTCTCCTGTTCCTTCAATGAGCCAGGCCTGGCCCTGCCCCAGGGCCTTTGCAGGTGGTGTGCCCTCTGGTATCCAGGTTTGTTATATGCCCCCCTGTCTAGGAGCTCATTCTCTACCACCACCATCAACAGTAATAAAAATTATGATATAAAATAGTGGCAAGCCCTTGGGGTGACTCCACGACATTTGCTCCCAAGCCCAGCTCAGCCCATGTCATGTGTGTTGTGTCTGCCTTCGAATTTCAGGTCCTTTTCTAGCGAAATGCCTTTGAACAAGCCCCTGTTTTGTGCTTCAGTTTCCTCAGCTGCAAAATGGAGATAACAGTGCCTCTCTCGTGGGCTCAGCGCCCAGTTTGGTATAGAGCAGGAGCTTAGTAAATGCCCACTGTTACTGTCCAGTGGGTGTAGGTCCTGTGCCTGTGCATCCATGCGAAGGGGGAGAGCTCTTTGCTCTGCCTAACCCAGTGGTTCTCAACCTTCCTAATGCCGCGACCCTTTAATACAGTTCCTCATGTTGTGGTGACCCCCAACCATAAAATGATTTTCGTTGCTATTTCATAACTGTAATTTTGTTATGAATCAGGATGTACTTTCATTGTTACAAATTGAACATAATTAAAGCATAGTGATTAATCACAAAAACAATATGCAATTATATATGTGTTTTCCGATGGTCTTGGGCGACCCCTGTGAAAGGGTCGTTTGACCCCCAAAGGGGTCGCGACCCACAGGTTGAGAACCGCTGGCCTAACCCAAGCACGGCCAGGCCTACGAAAATCACATGCAAATGAAATACAAACAATACACAAATGAAATGCATATTGCCTGCAAATTGCTCTCACCTGGGTGAGCAGCCTGCGCTCTGAGGTGTGCGCTTGGGGGCGCCCGGCACCCCACGGCCGAGCCCAGGCGCTGACCCGCGTCCAGCCCGGCTTTCAGTGCTCTGTGTAAATGTTTACACCGGGCCTGTTGCCAGACCCTGTGCGGGGCCGGCACAGGCAGCCGGGTGGGGGAATGTAAACGCAGGCTTGGGGCCACCGGGCAGCAGGGAGCTGCTCAGACATGGTTGAGGGGGATAGGGGTGTAAGAGGGTTATTAAACACCTACTGTATGCACTAAGCCCGAAGTTCCCAGTAGTCACAGCACCGAGTAATGGGTTTCTAATGGGGGATGCTTAGGGCTTGGGGTGTGGGGAGCAGTCAGGGAAGGCTTCCTGGAGGAGGCACCAGTCCAAGCTGAGACTGAAAGGAATGAGAGGGCAGGGGAGAGAAAGTGTTCTGGGTGGAAGGACTGGCTTGTGCAATAGCCTGGAAGTGGGTGGAGAACAGCTTTGGTTCATTGCAGCCCCTTTCTGGGCATCAGTTTATCTGTCTGGAGGGTAAACCCAGGCTCTGAAAGGACAGCAAATCACTCTGAAGAACATCATATGTAGGAACCAAGTGTCAACCCCACGGTTTCTGCCCCCAGACTGTACTCTAATGCCGGGCCTCCTGGCCACCCTTGTCCCACAATGCCCCCTGTTGGGAATGCTTCATCTTTCAATCTTTCCCTAAACACTGGGCTCCAGCTACCCCAACCTCTTGGCTGGATTGGCCCAGCTTGGTTCAGCCTCAGCTCCTTTGCACTGGCCGTTCCTCCTGCCTGAGATGCCACTCCCTTCTGCCTGGCCAACTCCTACTTTTGTTCAAATCTCAACTTTCCTCAACCCTCCAGAAAGCACTCTGGCACCCCCAGATGGGGTGGTCCCCTGACACCCCTGGCACAGCGCCCACACCCTCCTTAGCAGCAGTTTTTCACAACCATGTTCTGTGGTTCCTTGCTGAATCATGTCTGTTATCATTCAGCATTAAGCAGTAGTGGTTCAAAATCATGGGCCCACTGTGTCCCCAGTGTCTGGCCCAGTGCGCTGTACCTGTCTGTTGCCTGGCAGACTGAGGCCGTTTGGCTGACCCTCCCGTGCCCGCAGGCCGAGGATGCAGCGCTGGAAGGCAGCAGCCTTGGCCTCGGTGCTCTGCAGCTCTGTGCTCTCCATCTGGATGTGTCGGGACGGCCTGCTCCTCAGCCACCGCCTCGGACCCGCGTTGGCCCCACTGCGCCGGCCACCTCGAACCCTGGACGCCCGGATCGCCCGCCTGGCCCAGTGTAAGCCCTTCCCCTGACACAGGGACGGCCATACTGGTGGAATGTCAGGCAGTGGAACCAGGCCACAGAAGCTTTTTTAAAGATGGGGTGGAGGGAGGATGCAAATCCCCCAATGGCAGGGTGTGTGTGGGGGCGTGGCTCCTGGGAACTGGGGTCTCTCGGCTTAGCTGTCACAAGGAATTAGACTCAGTCCCTCAGGGGCCAGGGGGCCAGATGGAGATTAGACCTAGGAACTCTGGCAGGGGGGCCCCACCTGCCGCACAGCGGGGGGCGGGAGGGGGAGGCTGGACCCAAGGCCCCAGTGACCTGCATGTGTTGATAGGGAACAAGAACAGGGGAGACAGAGAGAGACCTAGACATGGGGAAAGAGACAGATATAGAGATGCACAGAGACAGAGACAAAGGTGGGAGAGAGACGTGGAAAAGGCAGTGCAGTCGAGAAGTGAAACTCCCACCTGGGGAGAATGGCCACCTGGCCCAACTCCTCACTTGACCCTCGTGCCTGCCTCCTGCAAGTTCTGCATGGGCCCCAACCTTGTGTGTGCACACATGACCACGCACTGTGGTGTAGGCACAGGCCTGGCGCATGCATGGCGCCTGCGGGTGGGGGTTGCGGGTGGATGCTGCATGCACACCCGCCCTGCCAGGCCTCACAGTCCTTCTTTCTTGTCCTCACAATAGACAAGGGCGGCCTCCGGCACAGACTGCACTTCCGTTCCCAACACTTGCCCTTGTAGGCTGCAAAGCCCTTCCCAGGACACTGGGTTCCAGAGACCTGGGTGGGCCCCCAAAAGCTAGCGTTCCAAGACCTGGGGACAAAGCACCAATGGTGGAATCCACTGAGAAGAGTCTCAGCCCATGGGCGGGTGCCTGCCGGTCCTGTGTCCTGCCCCTGGGCCCAGCTGTACTGGGGGAAGGGAGTGGCTGTTGATCCCCTCAAGGTCCTGGGACGAATGTGCTGATGGTGGAATTTCAGGCTGGAGGAATGAGGAGCAGATCTCATCTCTCTGTGTTCCAGACCCTGTGCACGTGGCCTGGCCTGCTGGAGGGATGCAGGGACAGATATACTAAAAGATTATTCATTGTTTATTTGAAATTCAAATTTAACTGGGCATCTGTATTTCATCTGGCAACCCCCCCAACAACTCTCTAGAAGCACACCTTGAGGCGTGCACACTAAGTGGAGGAGTTTTAGGCACCAGGAGTGAGTCGGCTCAAATCTAAGCCCAGAGCAGACAGTGCTGGCTATCCCAGACTGGCCCTGGGCTGCAAGAACTCGGAAAAGGCTGCTCCTTCATCCCCCACTTCCCACCCTCCCAGCCACAGCCACAGTGAGGACTCTGCGAGCCACACTGGACAGACAGGGATACTGGCAGAGGAGGGCCAGCACCTACCTGGAGTTGAACAAGAGGAGTGGCAGAGCTAGGCTCAGGGCCTGGGCTTGTCTGCTTTCCGAGGCCTGCTGTGGAAACAGACACTCTCAGGGCAGCAGACAGTCCCTCCCCCTCAGGCTTCCCAGTAAGATACTTTTTGACAGCCAGGTGTGCCAGCCTTGGGGGCAGGTCCCGGCTAAACTCAGGATTTCCCCTCCCAACCTGTGACTGCAACCTGTCAGGCTGGGAGCCTCCTGCCAGCCATTCCAAAGTCTGCACTTCTTTCCTGGGGCTGCGGAGCACAACAGATCCTCGAATAAAGTCATTTCCTTGAACCTAGTTTTGTTCCAATGATGAGATGCCGTAAGAATGTTTATATTAATTAGCCTTTGGTAAAATGGGTTTCATTCCTTGTCATTTCGCCTGAGTTCCAAGAACCTACCGGTGATGTTAAGTAAGGACTTACTGTCCTGGAGCAGGGCCGGCCTCTTGGGAAATAAATTTAGGCTACGGGATCCTGGAATTCTGTGACTCTGGGCACCTCCCGAGGGCAGCTGTGGGAGGAGAGGGCCGAACTTGGGCCAAACTTGGGTACTCGATGGAGGCAGGAAAAATGCTGTCCAGGTTCCTCTCTCACTGCCACCTGCTAGTGGGTGGCCTTGGCCCAGTCTCTGCTATTTTGGGTGCCCAGTTTCCTTACCTATAACATGGGAGTGGCCCTGACAATAGCTGCTGCCACCCATGGGGTGGGGTCCCCACACAGGCCTCAGTGCCTGCTGCTCCTCTGTGTGTTCTGAGAAGCCCAAACACCCGATTTGGGTTTCTGTATAGGGAAACTGAGTCCCACTGCACAGTAGAGCAACAGGTACGGGGTGGGGGGTTGTGAGCAGCCCAAGGGCTCCCAGAAGATGTTGGGGCTTTGAGTAGGGACCCCAGAGAGTGAGGGAGAGACCCATACAGCTCAGCTAAAGGGTGGGGAGTTGGCGGGGGAGAGCCCAACATAGGGATGGGATCCACAGTGTTGGGGGCGGGGCTGAGACACCCAGATGAGCTCAGCTCAGGGGGGCAGGCTGGAAAGTGGTCCAGGGAACGAAGAAAGGGTTAGCCAGGCTCTGAGCAGCTCAACATAGGGCAGGGTCCAAAGAGAGATGTTGGTAACCTTGGGGGCCCAGCGTAGGGGTCTGCATATGCACCCCTCCAACACCTTCCAGCGAGGGCGCGGGGGCAGGAATTGGGAAATGGGCTAGCGCCCAGCGCCCCCACAAGGGTCATTTTTGCAGGGGAAGAGCGAGGGTAGAGGACTCCCTCTCACCCACCCACTGATTCCCATCCCTTCTCTCCCTCCCCTCGCAGACCGTGCACTACTGCAGGGCGCCCCG